TGGATATCTGGTGAATATCTGGTGAAGATCTGATGATTGATCATTCATTCATCATCCCTGTTTCTCCACCAACTCTTTCTCCGCATTTCCTCCATATCTGCGGCTTCCACATCTTTCACCAATTTGGGCATTTTTGAAAGACCTGGCTAAAAGACTCCTATGGCTATGTCTGACTATCGCTCGACTATCATATACTATATCCATAATATATACATATATATATATAATTGTGAAACCATTGGCGATGTTCCTTCGACTGTGCCAGTTGCAAAGTCAAGCAGCCATATGATTGCTGTCTTCGTCCCATCAAAGGTGGCTCAAAGCCAACCGCAGGTGACTTCAGGGGAAAAGTGCAGCCATAGTGCGTGGCAGGATTCGTCGGTGTTTCTCTGTTGGAGGGGCTTCAACTGTTAGATACTTCTGGAACTATTGGTTGACAATCAGGTGAAACGATGAGGCAAGGATATCTCAGGTGGCCACCAGTTGGCTGACCCTTCCAGGGCAGTCACACTGGTAGCGGAGCCGAAAGGCTTACGCATACCAGCGTGCAAAGCCAGTATCTTGGACTGACAGGTGCTGTGGTTCAGCATTGGGGATGTCAAGTTCATCTGGTGGCGACGACAAGTCCAATGGACTATGGAATCAATTGCCCAGTTTTGATCCTAGCCCTAGCACTGATGATGTGAGAGAGTTTATTCAGAAAGCTCGTTTTCTACATGGAGTCTTTCCGAAGAAAAACAAACCCAACTTGGCCCCTCGTCTAGCCATGTTGTGCAAAGGGACTGCATGGAGTCAAGTCCGCATGTTAGATCCTGAGAAACTCATTGATGCCGAGCATGGTGTGGAACATCTCATCCAGGCCCTGTCGTCTTGGGAGGAGACATCCTAGCTCAAGACCTATGAACTGTTTGACAAAATTGCATCGTGCGTCGCAAAAGTCTGATGAGGCTACGCATAGCTACACTCTGGGGTTCAAGCGGCATTCAATGACCTTGGTCCTAAGGTCACAGTTCAGGAAATGCAAGCATTCGTGCTGTTGAAGCAGTCGTGCTTGTCCAATGAGGACAAAATGATGATTCTTTCCATGACGGATAGTGTTCTTTCAGTGACCAAGATTGAGAAAGCGATGAGAACTCTGTCAACAAAAGTGCTGTTTGGAACGAGTGATGTTCGTAAGAAGGTTTACCCAGCCAACTGTGTGGAATCCAGTGACGTTCAAGGTCCTCCAGAGGAAGATGCCACTCCACATATAATACCTATCAGGTATCGCATGAAGAAGACGATGTGCTGACAGCAGAGGCCCTTGACTCACTTGTCCATCGTTGTGCAGCAGTTTGAGAGTGAATTTGAAGAGATGATGCAAAGGATTCTGTACTTACAAGCGCGCTGGTGTCATACCAGGAGGCGCGACAAAGGATCAATGACAGGCGAAGGTCAAGAGGTTTCTGGCCGTCAAAGTCTGGTGGCAAAGGTTTGCCTCCCGTGGTGGTCGCAAAGGGGGCAGCAAGGGAGCCAAAGAAGAACTTTTGGGTCGCATCAGCCGCACGCACTGTAAGCTGTGCGGGGCGTTGGAGCACTGGAAAGCAGAGTGCCCGAACAAGCGAGATGCAGCCCGTGAACAAGCGAACGTGGTGCATGTGGAGGAGCTTAGCCCTCATGACCAGCCCCAGGTGATCATCGAGGAGGCTTCGAGGCCAGGTGGATGTCAAAGGAAATGTGTTTTTCAGCGTTCTCCGAACATCCGTCCAGCGTCCGGGACACCGTCCAGCATCAAGCCATAAAGTTTTGGTCCAGTCGTATCGATAAGTATGTAAAGAGGGGTATACCATAATGGGGATAACCAGGGTAAAGGGGATAAAGTCCAGCAGTCTCGTCCCATGATGCTGCCAGGTCGTTGGCATTGGCCAAGGGGCTGAAGGTTTCCAGCATCAGTGAAGTTGCAGAATGCAACACAAGCCAAATGGCCGCCAAAACTGTGCCAACGACTGGCATGGCGATCATAGCCACCGGAGCCAGCCATAGTGTGATTGGAAGCGATCATGTGCCTGCAGTCCTGCGAAAACTGCCTGCTAGCATCCGACAAGCAATATCGGTTTTCGTTTTGGTAACAATCAAGTGTTGTATAGTTTCAAGCAATTGCAAATCCCTTTGATTCATGGTCGTCAACGAATTTGGTTATCAGTGGAAGTTGCCCCAAGAGCTACTCAATTTCTCCCGTCCATCAAAGCCATGAAAAGCCTTGGAGCAAATACCTTTCAAACAACACATGCTATTTCAAGAATCTTCAACGTTCACTCCCACTCAAGGAAAACAACCATGGTTTGTTTGTGATTGATATCTCCGATTTGCGTCGTTTGCCAGCTGAGCCACATGAAGCAGCTTTTGCCGTGTCAAGATCCCAGATTTCAGTGCCGCCGGTCTTCATTTAGACGTTCAAGGGAATCATGCCGAATCGACAGGAAGTTCTGGATGCGCTGAGGATTCTCTCCGAAGATTTTCTCGAGAGTCTTCGCATTCTGTTTCATCTGTTTTACATGCTGGTCACGATGACGCGTGCAGTGCAGCCCGAGGAGGGCGTGACAGAGGCAGACATGACACCAATCAATCATCTTGTGGCCGAAGTTCGCAGCCAGAAAGCCAAGATCACCGAGCTTGGGGAGATCATTCAGAAACGCTTCCTGCAAAGTCAGTCCAATCCCAGTGGACCAAGGTCATCGAGCCCAGTGAACTCTGCGACGGTGGGTTTAGAATCGTGGGAAATCGCCGAACTGGAGGCCGCAGAAATGGAAGTGCCAGTCCATGGAGTGAGCCAACATTTGTCTCAGGGCCCAAAAACTTTCCGACTCCCTCCAAAGCAGCAGCTCCGAGCAACACCGGGATTGCTGGCATTCCACTCCGTGGATCTCGGCCAACTGGAACTGGATTGTGGAGAGAGGCTGTTTTTAAAGTTTTTTGTGCGATTTGCTTCTTTGCTGCTTCGAAAATTACCTACAAGCAATTCCTTACACAGAAAAAACAGGTTTTTTTATCCAAAGTGTATCTAATAAATAGGAGTTTGTCTTGAAAAAATGCAGATCATTTTTCCATGTTTATAGTACCAAAGAAACTGCATCTAAATATATATATATATAATTATATAATATATATATATATTGGAAAGATGTGTGCATATTACAGATTAAATTAATCAAATTGTAATATTTCATACTTGATAATTCAAAATGCAAAAAATGGTGCGATTCAAAGTGGAAGCAGTTCAACTTCATTGAGTGGCAGCTGACAATCATGTGATTCAAAGCCGACAAAGCAGTTTAACTTCACTTACTGGCAGCTGGCCAGCCCCCATCTGATCATTGAGCCCTTTGCGACTCTGCAGTCTGCAGTCTCAAGTTTGTTGGTGGCTTGCCCCCTGCTTTTGGAAATCCCCCGGCAGCTGAACCATGGGATCTTGCATGTCTTGCTGGTCCTGGTGTGCAAAGGACAGCCGCTTCCTGACAGGTTGTGGGTTGCCCGCGACGGCGTTTCTTATCATATCAGCAATGACTGCCAACACATTGTGAGAAACCCGGCTGATGAAATTTGGACCAGGACCAGGCAAGGAAGTGACAACGTGCGCTACTGTTGCGTGTCGGTGCAATTTTCACTGTTTTTGGTTGAAAGCTGGCATGTCAAAGGTGCCCACTTTGCTTCCCTGCGCAAGACCAGCGATGATGCAGTGCTGACGAAAAATAGCACCTGACGGTTGTCCCTGGACTTTGAAAGGGGTGCTTGCAATCATCATTTCGCACAAGCGCACTCACGGGTACACAGACACATGCATAGGAGAACCAAAGATATGTGATGGCGGCAGAACGTAGCAGCATCATCAAAAAGTGTGGCGTTTACCTGCGAATGTTTGTCAGCGTGTCAGTTGTCGGTAGTCTGTCTGTCTGTCTGTTTGTCTGTCTGTCTGTTGTTTGTCTGCGTCTTCAGTCAAGTGTTTGTTTGCGTCTGCCAGCTTGCCTGTGTTTGCCAGACCTGTGTCGGCCAGTGTTTTGTATGTCTGTTTCTGTCTGTTTCTGTCTGTTACTGTCTGTTTCTGTCTGTTACTGTCTGTTACTGTCTGTTACTGTCTGTTACTGTCTGTTACTGTCTGTTACTGTCTGTTACTGTCGCTTACTGTCGCTTACTGTCGCTTACTGTCTGTTACTGTCTGTCTGTTACTGTCTGCTACTGTCTGTTACTGTCTGTCACTGTCTGTCACTGTCTGTCACTGCCTGTCACTGTCTGTCACTGTCTGTCACTGTCTGTCACTGTCTGTCACTGTCTGTCACTGTCTGTCACTCCCTGTCACTGTCTGTCACTGCCTGTCACTGTCTGTCTGTCTGTCACTGTCTGTCACTGTCTGTCACTGTCTGTCACTGTCTGTCACTGTCTGTCACTGTCTGTCACTGTCTGTCTCTCTGTCACTGTCTGTCTGTCTGCCTGCCTGGCTGTCTGTCTGTCTGTCCGTCTGTCCGTCCGTCTGTCTGTCTGTCACTGTCTGTCTGTCACTGTCTGTCTGTCACGGTCTGTCTGTCACTGTCTGTCTGTCACTGTCTGTCTTATCACTGTCTGTCTGCCACTGTCTGCCTTTCACTGTCTTTCTCTCACTGTCTGTCTGTCTGTCACTGTCTGTCTGTCTGTCTGTCTGTCTGTCACTGTCTGTCTGTCTGTCACTCACTGTCTGTCTGTCTGTCACTCACTGTCTGTCTGTCTGCCTGCCTGCCTGTCTGTCTGTCTGTCTGCCTGTCTGTCTGTCAAGATCATCGGTCCATCGACTATCAGTGGTTGTCCATCGAATATATCAGTGTTTGTCGGTGATGGACAGATACAGAGACAAACCGACTGAGACAAGTTGGCTCAGCCAGACATGTGTTGTCATGGGCTCCCTTGCAGTGTTAATTGATTCTAGACTATTCGTTTAATTCGCAACTTTCCATGATAACACTGCAGGCATTTGGCTTGAAGTGAGATCTCAGGACCATTCACGTCTGGAGACCAAGCCATGGACGAGCTGGAACTTGCCCAAGCTGAGGCTGAGTTTGTCCACGCTGGGCTTGCACAACACAGGGCCGACAGGAAAAGAGGTTCATCCCTCTTGGTGCCGAGACTGCAGTTCAAGCGGCGCCACAGGGCCACACGCCTCTTGGGTTTCAAACCCAAAGCATTTCAAGCACAAAAAAAAAAGAAGAGCAGTGGCCAAGTACAAGGCTGGCCAGAAGGCCACCGGGCCACCCACCAGGCCAGGAAAGGGCGAGTTGAAGGCAAGGCAGTTCGATCCGAGGGGAAATGCTCCGATGATTGTCACTGGCTCAGATTGCTCAGGTCTGGACACTGCTACTGCTGCTTTGAAAATGGCAGGCCTCGAGCCCTGCACGGTGTTCTTGTCTGAGAAAGATGCCCACGCCAGAAGAGTGTTGGAGAGCAACTATGCTACTGGTGGAGCTTATGCAGTCGAGGGCATTGGTGGCTTGCCCCATGCTGGCAGCAAGCCTCGGATTTTCAACAACATCATGGCAAGGGATGATTCCGAGATCAGTGCGGAAATCGACCTCTACACTGCAGGCCCACCCTGCCAGCCATTCAGCATGGCTGGTTTGCAGAATGGCTTGCACGATAAACGTGCTCATGTGCTGCTGCGTGTTCTGCAGACGATTAAGACCATTCAGCCCCTGACATTTGCCTTGGAGAATGTCAAACCATTAGCGCGGCACAAGAAGTTCAAGCTCCTCTTTGATTTCATTTTGGCTTTCCTACGTTCCATCGAAGATGCAAATGGCGAGAAAGTGTACCAAGTGGAATGCAAGGTTCTCGTTCATGGCAAATTATTTGGTTAATTATGGTTAATTGTTGATTTGTTTTTTTTAAGCTTCTTGGTTGTCCTGTTGATTCATCATTTTTACGACCATGACAATGCCTCCTGAGGTTCTTGACACAAGCGTTGTAGGTGGCTTGCCCCAAGCGCGGCTACGCACTTACATTGTTGGCTGGAAAATTGCAAAGGCGGACCCTTCCATGAAATGGCAGTGGCCAGCCCGCATCCCGAGCAGGAGCGTGTCCAGTTTTCTGGACTGCACAGATGTCTCTGACTTACACCACGGCGTGACCACGGAGAAAGGCAAAGCAAGGGTCCAGCAGCACCTGGTGTCAGTCGCCAAAATGATCCAGGATTCCATTCTGAAGTGTTCTGCCACGAAGGCCTGTGTTGGCTCAATCATTTTTCTTTCTTTGGCTACCGGAAATTGGTCATCTTTTAGCTCGTCGTTAATAATTTGTTCTGGTTGTTTCCTTGATTGAAAGAATTGCGATTCTGCATTTGTAGGTACTGAGTGAGTAAAAATAGCCACAGTAACCACTTACATGTTTGGATTGAAGGCGTCACAGGATGCTGTGTGGTGCGCCGATGTGGGGTGCAGCTTGAAGCGCGGCGCGGCAGCCCTGCCTGAAAAGTCACCGACGTTGACGCACAGTCGGTGCAAGTCTGGAGGTCACATGTTGCTACCCATGCAGCGGCACATGACTTTGAATGAAATTGAAGAACTTCAGGGGTTTCCAGGAGGACATTTACGGATCCCTGCCGGAGTCAGCAAGAAGAAGTATGCAGGCATGCTTGGCAACGCTTTCACTGTCAGTGTGATCGGCAGGGTTGCGTTGAATTTGCTGAAAATGGTCGGCAAGGTGCCCCCCGAACATTTTGACCCATGGGCAATGCCGAGCATGAAGCATGACTTTGTCGACTACAGCCGCTTCAGTGGAATGAAGCGCCGCTGCTTGAGGAGATGGTCACACAGACTCATAGACAGAGAAGTTTGCAACATCTGAATTTGGTTTCGGTGGCTTGCCCCATTCCTCAAATTTGGCTTTGATTTTGTTTTTGGTGCCTTGCCCCATACCAATTCTGAAATTAGGCTCTGCTGGCAATTCGAGCCGCCTTTTTCGTGAGCTGTTACATTGGTGGCTTGCATCATGGAACTTGCCCTCCGTAATTCATAATTCAGTGGTGCAAACTAGTGCTACCATCACCAATTCATGATTGCAGAGCGGTGCATTGCCACCTTGTGGAACCTTCGGGAAAGTATAGTGCCTCTGCGTCGCGAGATTTAGCTGAGCACACCCCCAAGCAAGGTCTTAGAACTGACAGTAGGTAGTCGGAGAATTTCTCTTTGGGGGGTCCTATGACAGTGCATGCGTGCCCATGCCGCTGCTTGGTTGCTTCAAACAAGTAGACATCAGTTGTTTGGACTGGTCGCCGGTGGCTTGCACCGCCTGCAGGGACACAAGGCCCAAGTCATGGAGGATTTACTGCCAGAGCACATGGGTGTGGAACAATGCGTGCAGGACCGAGTGTTAATTGGGGAGAAAGATTTTGCAGGTTATAATTGGAAAACTCAAAGTTAGACAGAAATAGATTCTCTCGACAGCCGGGCGCCCCATCGAATGTACAGAGGAGGCTCAGATCAATTGTTTTTTAAACAAATATGTTGCCAAATCCAGGGACCAGCCCCTCTGGACAGTCGGGGGCGCCCCAGACTGTCCAGAGCCGGCTCTGGACAGTTGGGGGCACCCTCGACTGTCCAGAGACTCTCCCAGAAGGTCCTCAAAACACAGTTTAACAGTAAAAACGGTGCGAAAAAAAAAACTCCAAATAACAAATCGCAGACCTGCTGTGTCCAGAGCACTTCTGGATCCAGGAGGCCTTGTGGACAGTTGGGGGCGCCCCGGACTGTCCAGAGGAAACTTTTCACTCATTGTTCTTGACTTTTGAAAATTTCAAAAGTCAAGAAAAATGATGGAAAAGTTTCCTCTGGACAGTCCGGGGCGCCCCCAACTGTTCAGAAGACTTCCCGGATCCAGAGGTCCTCTCGACAGGAACTCCGTTCGAGGAATGGAGTTTTTGCAAATCACGGCCTTAGCTCTGGACAGTGCCAACATGGGTCTCAAATGCCGTTTTTTCTTGAATTTGCCAGGAATTCGTGCCAGAGCAGATCGAGCCTGTGACAGACTTTGGCAAGAAATGGAAAAGACTTGGGCCCAGATGGGTGGCACAGTACCCTTGGCTACACTGCACAAGGAACCGAGCTGGAGAAGTGAACAGTGTGTACTGTAAGGCATGCAAGCTTCATGGCAAGTTCCACGCTGAGTTTCGAACAGTGTCCTCGTTGCAGAAGGCGCACTTCGATAAACATGAGCGAGCTAAGGGCCACAGGATAGCAGTTTCTGATCCTGACGTTCGCTTGGCCCTTGTTGCCCCTCCAGTTGCTGCTTTCGTGGAAGCTCTGCGTTTAGTCCGCCAGGGTAAAGCAGGAGGGGCTGAAGGCACCGGAACTTTGAAACGTGACAAGTTGCTCAAAGCTAAGTATTGCTTGGCTGAAGCTTTAAGGTTTCAAACTCGCAGGGACTTGAGGAGTTGCAATTGTTTGACTTTGCACTCGGATGCTTCCAAAGGGAGACTACTTTTGCGTGTGCAAGGTTGTGGCCCACAGCTGCGGCAAGTTCATGCTTTGGTGGGGTGCCAAAAGCTTGAAGATTTTGACTCCCACGGCATTGCCAAATGTGTCTTGCTGATGGTGGCGGATTTGTGCTCACCATTCAAGCACAGCGAATCCTTTGAAACGAGCCAGTCGCTGAATGAAGATGTCACCTCCATGGACAAAGCTTTGTTGGCCCATCTCTTTGAGATCACAGAGGTCTTCAACGCAGACGCAGCTGCAGATGAGCAATTGGCTGGCCAGATCCTTGAATCTGGTAATAATAGATTCCTGGAGGCTTGCCCCGGAACTTGTCCTGCCTTGCTTGAAGCTATGGATGTGAACATGGCTACATTCTCACAAGTGTTCCCAAACTTGAAGGTCATCAACAAAGACAAGCCCCATGCCGCCCGTAGGATTGTCAGCCGGACATGGAAATGCGACCGTGTCCTCGACCAAATTGTGAAGAAAGTGTTCATGGACACCGATGGCATTGTGCAACAGATTCATTTCTCCGATGTGTTGCGGTCCATGTATGCCCAGAACGTTCGAGCCATGCAGTTCACCCCCTTGTGGAATGAGATTTCGGACAAATTTTCTGCAGCGAAGCACCGATTCGATTCGTGGAGCATGCCCTTTGCTAAAGTTTGCCTCACGTTAGATGCTGTGATCCGAACAGCCCAGTCTGCCCATGAAGAGAGGAAAAATGAAAAGGTTGGCCACGCAGCTCGGACATTCTTAGACCTTCTGCCTGAGGAAACAGTTTTGCTCATTGGGATGCTTGCTGATGCTCGAGAGGAAAATCTGCAGTTGACCAGGCGCTTGGATTCTGAGAGAACCACGTCAGGAAGCCTTGCCATTGCAGTGCAGCAGTTTGTCATGAAGTTGGAGGTGCTGTTTCTGAAAGGAGCAGTCGTGAAGACTGGCTACACAGCCCACCTTTTGGACCAATTGCAGAAGCCACGGACGATATACATTGACAAAGTGGCCAAACGGCTCGGTGGCTTGCCCCAGCCGCAGATGGCGACGGTCGTTTACCGATGCTTGAAACGCTTTGCTTCCTGGGTGCAGCTAGCGCAGGAAGTGGTCGCAACGGAGTTTCCAGCGTTTGAGATTTTGCAGCCTATGTCCATTTTCCATTTGGAATCGTTGAATGACAAAGTGCACAGAAGAGACGACCACAGGACTGAAGCACGAGATGTTAGCGATAAGATCCACAAAGTGTCAAACGTTTTGTCCTTGGATGAGTGCGCGTTGTCAAGCCAGTTTGCAGACTACCACCCTGTAGCTCAGCACAAGTTTGAATCCGCTGCAGACATGGAACCAGTGATGGCCTGGAAAGCAGCTTTGGATACAGTTCTGGAGGACAAGCGAAATCTCCAGCACCACCCCCAAGAGGAACACAGGCAGGCTCTGAGTAGAGCTATTGGCTGGGGCTGCTCCAGTTCGGGTGTGGAGCAAAACTTTGCAGGTGTCCGAACATTGACAAAAAGCAAAGGAAACATGACCGAAGTGAACCTGAGGGATGAAATTTTCCTCTTGACCACACAAAATTGGACCGAAACTCAAGACCAGGAGTTGGCAAAGGCTGCTGCGGTGATTTGGTCTCAACTTTTTGGGACAGTGAAAGCCGCAAGTTCCAAACACTCAGTGTTAAGATGTGTAGCAGCGCAGCGTGGGTGGAAGAAAAGGGCCAGAGAAGGCACATGGCAAGCGCCTTGTCTCAAAGCTAGTTTCATGTGCTCAACAATCAAAATTTAGATCATTTTGAACAAAGATTTTGCTTACTAAGGCTTTTCGGAGGCAACGTGCTGCTGCAGTGGCGCAGGACGTGAAAAAATGCGGAGATGACCCGACACCAGGATTTTTGGTCAACGAAAACGAGCATTGGACACAAGAACATGAGAAAGAAACGCAGTTACAAAAAAAAAGACGTAAAGAACGTGCTTTGGAAGCAGCTGCTCACAATGGGCTTACAACGGAAGAAAAACTCAATGAATAGGTCCAGACCATGAGCAAGCCGTGGAGGACTTCAAAGCTGCGAGAAGTCAGAAAGTGAGAAGCTACTTGGCCAAAAAAATCCGAGACACAAAGAAAGAAGAGAAAGCCGCGGCATCAATTTTTTCTTTGTGCAGTGGCAAGAAAGTTTTTATTTCAACAATCCAAGCCGCTCCAAGCCTTGTGCTGGACCAGCACATGGACAAGTTGGGTGCAAAATACGAATCTTCCCTTCTGCGTGCGGACGCGTTTGTTGTTCCAGATGTCACAGATCCTGCTGAAGAAACTTTGTGGCACGCATTCCTTTCCGGAGGTTTGTTCCTCAGCCCTCAAGCGTTTAGTCATGGCGAGGGACCAGCTGTGAAGTATTGCTGTGCGGTCAGCATCCGCAGGACTGTTTACATCAGCAGCGGTTTTCAAGAAGAAAACCCTGACTTGTGTGCAGCTATCACTGGCCGCATGCTTCAATGCTTTCTGCAAGCGCAACTTCGCCACAGACCGTCTGCCGAGCTTGTCGCTTTTGTCACCCACAAAGAAAGCAAACAAATTCTGTCAGTCCTTGGTGATACCGGCCAGCCCACAACTGGTCTATGCTGCAAGTTCTTGACCAGAACAAACGCAGCTGTTTTTATATGTAAAGTTGAATTTGCTAAGCATGGTTTATGTGGTCGCTGATTCGAGCATTTATAACAGTAATCAATTCATAACACTGCAATTTCGTAAGTTTTCTGTCAAGTCACCACATAATTTCTTCATTAATTTGGTGCGTATAATTCAGGATTGAGAGCGGGATGGTGGCTTGCCCCTCCTAATCATTAATTTGTTTGCATGACGCTGCCCCCCAGTAGCGCTATAGGTCATGGGCCTTGTGGCTTGCCCCGGTTTGATATTTTTGCATTTACATTAAAAATCAATAGTTTTTTTTGGACATTCTCTTTCAGCTTCTCTCCACAATCCCGCTTGTAATTAGCTGTTTCAATGAAATTTCGATCCGCGGAAAGACAAATTGCAGCCGCGGACTGTCTGAAACGCCATAGTAAGTGCAAGTAACTAGCCACCAGCCACTGTCTGAGTCACTGGTGCATATACGAGAGTTGCTAAGATTTGGGTTACAAGTTGGGCCTTCAGACCTGGAACTGGCTACGCGGTGAGGCTCAAACCGGACCTCAGGTTTGACTGCAGGGTGTAGTAACAATGACACACAGACAGGAAGATGAAACCGACAGCAGCAGCAACTACAAGTTTCCAGCAACAATTTCTTTACCTGTACTTAAATGAAAATAAGCAGTCACAGATCATCACTTCTTCAACTTCAACTTAGCCGCTTAGCTGCTCCGACCATGGGGAAACCAGGTGCTGGCAAGGGAAGCCAGGGTCGCCGTCCCAAGGGCGATGCAGCGAAGCATAAGGGTAAGGGATCTGGTGGCTTGCCCCATCCCAGAAGTGAGCCTTCTGGATTGGGCGGCACAGTCCAAATGCCACGTAGTCACGTTGTCACTTCCTTGCCTGGTCCTGGTCCAAATTTCATCAGCCGGGTTTCTCACAATGTGTTGGCAGTCATTGCTGATATGATAAGAAACGCCGTCGCGGGCAACCCACAACCTGTCAGGAAGCGGCTGCTCCTTTGCACACCAGGACCAGCAAGACATGCAAGATCCCATGGTTCAGCTGCCGGGGGATTTCCAAAAGCAGAGGGCAAGCCACCAACAAACTTGAGACTGCAGACTGCAGAGTCGCAAAGGGCTCAATGATCAGATGGGGGCTGGCCAGCTGCCAGTAAGTGAAGTTAAACTGCTTTGTCGGCTTTGAATCACATGATTGTCAGCTGCCACTCAATGAAGTTGAACTGCTTCCACTTTGAATCGCACCATTTTTTGCATTTTGAATTATCAAGCATGAAATATTACAATTTGATTAATTTAATCTGTAATATGCACACATCTTTCCAATATATATATATATATTTTAAGATGCAGTTTCTGAGGTACTACAAACATGGAAGAATGATCTGCATTTTTTCAAGACAAACCCCTATTTATTAGATACACTTTGGATAAGAAACCTGTTTTTTCTGCGTAAGGAATTGCTTGTAGGTAATTTTCGAAGCAGCAAGGAAGCAAATCGGACAAAAAACTTTAAAAACAGCCTCTCTCCACAATCCAGGGAAGTGCAGAGATGAACAGTCCAGCAGTTCCTCATCAACAGATCAACGACAATCATCAAGTTGCCCTGACAGCCGCCACACTGGAGGCGTGGGGAGGCAAATCAGTGACATGGGGAAAGAAGCATGCAGGACACAAAAGTAGCACGTTTGCAAAAGGGTATTACATCGGCCAGTGGAAACTTTGCTGGAAGGTAACCGTGTCTTGCGGGAAGCCCCCGCTTTTGCAGATACGTTGGTCATTGTCCGACCGTTGCCAATGCAAGAGGTATGCTTTGTGAGTTTCGGAGATGCCAGTTTTGCGTCGGCCAAGCAGCTGTCTGATCACCAGGGGTTCTTCACTATGGCCTGTGCCCAAGGGCTTGCACGAAACGAGACAACAGAGTTTTCTCCAGTCGTTTGGCATTCAAAGCAAATCGGTCGAGTGGTGAGATCAACCCTTAGTGCTGAGGCATACTCCATGTCAAGCTCTTTGGACAAACTGACATGGATCCGAATCGTGTGGGGCTACATCAAAAGTCCTGACTTTGACGTGTCCAAACCTGAACTATCTTTAAAAGGGAACCCAAGGGTTTGATGATAACCGACTGTAAATCACTATACGATTTAATCACCAAAAATGCAGTGCCAAATTGTCAGGAATGGAAGACCACTATAGAAGTTATGCTTCTCAAGGAACCGTGTTACAACTTGGTTAGGTTCACAATTGAATAATAAAGGGAGGCCAGTGTGAAACCATTGGCGATGTTCCTTCGATTGTGCCAGTTGCAAAGTCAAGCAGCCATATGATTGCTGTCTTCGTGCCATCAAATGTGGCTCAGCGCCAACCGAAGGTGACTTCAGGGAAAAAGAACAGCCATAGGGCGTGGCAGGATTTGTCGGTGTTTCTCTGTTGGAGGGGCTTCAACTGTTAGATACTTTGGTGTGATCACGAGAAGTATTGGTTGACAATCAGGTGAAACAATTCTCCTTGCGGCAAGGATATCTCAGGTGGCTACCAGTTGGCTGACCCTTCCAGGGCAGTCACATATAATATTATATGTGTATAGTGGTTTCACTTTCTTGACTTTCAATTTGCATTCAACCAATAAACACCATCTGAATCTGCTCTTCATCAGGGTACTCTACCTCACAGCCAAGTCCAGCCTGCATTTCGCTCAAGAAATCGGAGGGGAAAATGTCGTCTTCGCCCAATGCCATAAACCCCAACGACTCATCAATGGGTAACAAAAAAAACCCAAATGCTCGTGTTTTTTTTTCGGGGGGGGGTTAAGACCAACACAATCCTTTTTTTCCACCAACTCAACAGCAAACAGAGCTTTGCCGAAGATATCAATTGATAGGGAATTTCTCTGGCTCTATGTCAATCTATCACTAAACAGATACTCTTTCAATGCAATCTGCTTGAATTTCATGACAATTCCCTCACCTCAAAATACTTGAAAATAGCTGATATCACACATTTTCAACTTTCTTTTGGGGATAATTTTTCCAGACAAAAGATTTCTCCATGAAAATTGCAGAAGAAAACCCTGAATCTCCACTAAAAAACTCTTCGCTGCTGGGGAAGTTCCGAAAACTTACGGGATTTCCCTGCGGATTCTGACGAACTTCCGGAATTTTGAGGGAACTTCCCCATGACATTTTCTTTTTTGGGAAACTTTGGATGACCCTTGCAAATTTCTCCAGGGTCTTCTCCAAAATCATCCAATGAATTTTCCAAAGATCTCATTCTAGTCCATATTTTAAAGATAAGCATATCAGAAGAACCATATTTTACCAGATATGATATAGTAAGTTTCCAAATCTATCAGAATCATCTCCCAGAAACAACCAAAACAACCAATTTCTCTCGTTTTTGCTTCGCATCGACTTCTAGCGTCGGCGTTTGCTGCGACTGCGGCGCCGAGGGCTGGAACCTGGCTGGTCATGATCAATTTTGGGTTGGGGAGCATATGTGAGCTAACAACTTTAGCCTCTTATACCTGTAAGATACTGTATATATACATACAGAAGGGGACACCCTCAGAGTGCAGCTTTTTCACTGGTTCTCTTACACGTGCGCTGACAGTTCCTGCTTGGCACATCTGCAATGGCTATGTCACTACTGTGCAACCATTGACAATTTTTGCTTGGCATATATGCAATGGCTAAACAAAACAAAAAACCAAGAAAAGAAAAACAAGAAAAACAACAAAAACAAAAGGACAAAACCCAACTCTCTGCCACTACTCCCACCTTGGGATGTGCAATATTTTTTTCTTCGTTTTTTGTCTTTTTGGTTTCTGTTTTTTTTTTGGTTTCTGTTTTTCTGGTTCGTTGTTGTTTTTTTTGAAGGGCTGGCAAAAAAACACCAAAGTGAAGGACCTAGACCTAACTCTTCGCCAGTTCTCCCACTTTAGGGGTTGCAAGCTTGCTTTTGATTGTGTTTTTGTTTGCTTTGGGCATGTGGTTCCATTAGAAAAACATGAGTACCTATGGCAAAATGCAGGTATCACTTGGGGAAACTTGGGGCTTGGGACACAAATTAGGCAATTTTGTCTGTTTATGTAATTTTTCAAAATGTGTTAAAAAATGTAAAAACATAGGCAGCCAATGAATGCGTAGAACTGATTTTGATATTGACATTGTTGGGTCAAACCCTTAAGTTGACACATGTTCAAACACTTTAAAAAATTCCCTTGACAAGGAGTGATGCATCTCTTTGAAGTGAGTACTTCCTTCAACGCGTGCATTTCTTTTTAAATGCTAGAGCATCCCATTGGGTCATGTCTTAGTCTACTTCTATGTCAAAAATTAACCCTGTTGCACATGAACTAATACACTATTGTTGGAAAGTATTG